AGTATCGAGTACATTGGATACTTCTTCCCCCATTCTTGAGATACTTTACTAAGAAGAATATGTTCCAGCTTCATCCAGGTAAACATAAAAGATGTGAAGTCTCCATCTTTTTATGGCTGCATAATATTCCATGGTGTACATATACCACAATTTGTTAATCCATTCATGGATTGATGGGCACTTGAGCTGTTTCCATGTCTTGGCTATTATGAATTGGGCTGCAATTCTGGTGCAAATGTCTTTGTTGTAAAATAATTTTTGAACATCTGGGTATATACCTAGTAGAAAAATTGCAGGATCAAACGGTAGGTCTACTTTTAGTTCCTTGAGTGACTGGCATTAATTATTGTAGTTGCATGTTTTGTGTGCTGAATAGCTCTGACTGTCATTTCAGAAAAGGAGTTCCAAAAGTGTTTTGAAGGGTATATTACATGCTGGCATCAGTGTGTATCTTCCTGAGGGGGGTACTTTGAAGGTGACCATAGTGATATTCAGCAATGAGGTATGTAACACTTTTCCTGGGATGTGTTCATGAATTTAATTGTCAGAACTTATGTTTGTGTCTATGTCTTCTTCTATGAATTATATAGGCTTAGATATTTAAGGTTCTTTTTTAAAAAATGATTTTAAGTTGTTTTTTGTATGTGGTGTGAGATAAGAGTCCAACTTCATCTTTTTGCATGTAGATATCTAGTTGTCCCAGCACCATGTGTTAATAAAACTATTTTTTCCTTATTGAATGGTCTTGGCTCTCTAGTTGAAAATCAACTGACCATAGAAGTATGAGTTTATTTATGAACACTCAGTCCTATTCTATTGATATATATATCTATTCTAATGCCAATACCACACTGTTTTGAATACGGTGTCTTTGTCATAACTTTTGAAACCAGAAAGCATAAGTTCTGTAACTTTATTCTTTTTTTTCCAGGATTATTTTACTATTTTGGATTCCTTGAAATTTCAAATGAATTTTAGGATAAACTTGTGCAGTTTTGTAAAAGAGGTAGCTGGAATTTTGATAAGAATTTCATTGAATCTACAGATTGCGTTTGGGCAGTATTACATCTTAATAATAATAAGTCTTGCAATCCATGAAGATAATGTATCTTCACATTTATTTAGGTCATTCTTTCAACAATGTTTCCTAAGAAAAAAAATGTAATACTATATTTTATTTTTATATTTCATTTTTACAGATTTGGAAGCAATTTGTACCTAAACTTCGGTCTGAATAAAACTATTCTTTTAAAAGAAAAGCATTCATTCTGACATTAAATTGCATTTTCCAAGAGCCTGCACCATCAATTATTCAGGTTTTAATTATGCAGTTATAGGTGTACCTGTGCATCTCTTCAGTTGAGGACAGGCAGGCTTATGTGAATGGGACCTTGTGGATTTGGTATCTCCTATAGGAATGTGTGTACTATTCCTGGGGATACTAGAGCATAGTTGAAGAACTTCTCTCCATTGTCTGTTTTCTTCTTACTGTTCTACCAGAGTTAACAATCTTGGATTTCAAGTCTATAATTCAATACTGTTGTCTATAATATTCTTATTTTAAAATACATTTAAATATTTTTACATTAAATATTTTAAACATTTCAAACTATTTGGGTTGGCTGCTGAACAAATGTTTTATTTGTAGTATATGTTTTGAAGGTCCTAAGGGGTATCATTCTAAAACATTTTTGAATATAAAAGCAAGATTTTTGATATATTGCATTGACTATTTTTTTCTTGATTAAGATATACAAATATTTTATATTTAGTTAGCCAAAAGCAATAAAGCATATGTACCTCAACTCTTTACTATCATATGTTGAAATCCCTTTGAGAATGTTCTTTGATAAGAACAAATATTTAAATAATCTTTGATAAGATACTGCATTATGCTATTCTTTCCTCATGGACATAGGGATAATTTTCAAAGGAATCCAAGCAGTTTAGTTTTACAGGGTAAAGTTTTCCATCCTTGCTAAATTTATTTATTTGGAACTCAGATACCAACCATATCTATTATAGAAAAAATTCTCTAGCAAGAGAGAGTTGCTTCAAAGGAAATTGTAGACTATTATGTGTGTCTAGGTAGGTCATCTGCTTATAAAATATTGCAGAAAGGTACAGAATATAGTCCACAGATGCATTGAAAAGCTGAAACATAATGAAAAGCCTTTTGGAAATCACACTGGTATACCTGCACCACCATTTAATGGAGGAGTGACTCAGCATTGATGCGAGCGAGTGTGTGGTCTCAGATGTGAGTTATGGGAATATTAACTTTTAGGTACTATATGTGGGAGTGAAAAATCATACTCTCGGAGTCAGGAGCTTACACTGATGCTCATTTCTACCACTGGCTTATACAAGGGACATTACAAAAGTTTTGAGATACACAAAAATAAGAAACATAAAATCATTTTGATTACTACATATATATGTGTGTGTGTGTGTGTGTGTATATATATATATATATTTTTTTTTTCCAGTTTTTGGCCAGGGCTGGGTTTGAACCCACCACCTCTGGCATATGGGGCTGGCGTCCTACTCCTTTGAGCCACAGGTGCCGCCCTGATTACTATATTTTTTCAAAATAATCACCACACCATTCTACGCACTTTTGCATTCTTGTAAACCACTTTTGAAAACACTCTTTCCACTCATTTTCTTTAAAGTGCTTTAAGCTCACTTTCATAGGCAGGAACAGCTTCTTCAGGGCTGGAGAACCTTTTTCTATGCATGTGATTTTTTTACTGTAGGGAAGAGGAAAAAATCACATGGGGTCAGGTCAAGACTATAGGGTCAGAAATTTAACCTCTGCAGACTCCAGTAACTGTGGTTATGTTGGCTGTGTGGACAGATGGATCATCATGGTCCAATATGGTGTCCCACAGACCTCTCCTAGGCTGTTGTTCTAGAAGTTTCCTAAAAATGTTTGGTAGGCATACTGTTGTGTACCACTGAGCAGTAACAGTCTTTTGTTCCTCCAGAGGAACAGTTGTGACACAACCACTTTTGGAGAAGAAAGTTGCTACCATTTTCTTTCTGACTCTTCAGAGATGTTTCACTTTTGTTGGTAGATTTTTTGGGGGAAAATCCACACTGTGACTGACACTTATTCTTTGGATCAAACTGTCAAGACCAGGTTTCATCACCAGCAATGATGTCAGAGACACATTTAGACTCACCTCTGTCCCATCTGACCAGGATTTCTTCACACCACTCAACACACATGTGCTTTTGCTCATCTGTCAAACTGTTAGGGACCCATAGGGATGAAACTTTCTTGACCTGAAGACAACCATGCAAGATTTTGGACACTATAGGCAATCCCATCTGTAGAGCCCTTCAAGGTCCTTACACGCCACTCGATTGCTTTTGCAAACCACTTTTTCCACAGCGGGGATGTTTTCCTCAGTCACTATGATAGATGGACACTCTATCCTCTCCTTGTCTTGTTCAGCCTCTTCTAAATTCTTAAAACCACTGAAACATTGCACAGGGAGGAGTAAGGTTCCCAAAAGCCAATTGCAAATGCTTAAGGCTTTGAAACTTATTTATCCTACTTTTAGAATCATAGAAAAATCATCGCAGGAAAGTGCTCTTTCCAGCTCCATAGCTGACACCAGCTGAGTGCTGCACAGGTGCTTCCAGGAGCATTGATAAGTTGATCAAGTTAAAACTTGTGCAGTGAATCAGAAAGGATACCACTGCCAACCTCATTTCTTGAAAATGGAATAGTGGACCACAACACAGTCTATCTCAAAACTTTTATAAAGTTTGTAGTCATCATCATCTAGCCTCCACCAAAGCCACTCAGTTGAAACCTTGGTTAAATTTCTGCAATAAACACTTCTGGTTAAAAGAAAACCAAACCAATCTTACTATATGGATGTAGAAACTGAGATCTGAGAGGCTGAGTCCAATGTCCCCTGAGTGACAGCCATGTCTTCAGGTTTTTTGCCCCCAGGTCCCAATATGATTTTTAGTACTTCACACAAAGGATGTCATTGTTTGGGAATCAAAGAGAGTTTCACATTCATTTCTCCATTTATGCTAGAATATATTGGCAATTTAATTGATGTGAAATTTAAAAAGATGCTGGCTTAAAATCTAATCACTGATAAAGATTTTGAACCTCTAGTCTTATTGACATTTTAGTGATGTATTTAATCTCTCTAACTATCTGACTTAGTATCTTCTCCTGTTATGAGGCCAAGAAAACATAAGCATATACTTAGGACAAATACACAAATTTCCATAGAAATGATAGGCAGAGAGAAGAGGCAGATTAATGTTTCAGGGTTGCCATTGAGTTTCTTTTAGGTCTTCTATGTGTTTGCTACTTGCTGGGAATGAAGATGGGTTAAAAAAAAGCCTTAGACTCTCAACTGGAAGTGAACGGGATGTTATATTCCTGTACATCATGAGTTTTGTTTGTATCTGGTATTGAGTTCGCTCTTTGATGTCTATGCACTGTGTGTTTGTCAATTGTGGCTTTCTGATCAGCTCTACAAAGCCTATAGAAATGGAAAAGTGGCTGAAGCAGTCTCTGTGGGCTTTTCTGCTTTGCTGGAGAGGTAGGGACCTGACAAACTTCATAGGTTACTACCTGACTACCCAATTGCCTATTCAGGTGAACCTTTCTCAAGATTTATCTTTAAGAGAGTGAAGGTTCTGAGTTATGTGTGCATGGAGGACTTCTTGTGTAGGGTTGGCAAATATAGCAAATAAAAATACAAGACATCCACTTAAAATTGGATTTGAGATAAACAATAATTTTTTAGTATAAGGATATTCTAAATACTGCATGGGTGTTTTGTCTTTTGTCTGACAGCTTCCTTAATGTGACAACTTGCTTAAAGTAGAATAGAGTCTGTTTTCAAATCTACTTCCTGTTTTCATTTCTTATCTTTTTCTAGTTTTAATATATATATTTTTTGCCTCAGGGTAGCCGAACATAAATGTTGCCAGTAGGGAATATCTTACTCTTCTCTATCCTAACACAGAACAGGAATCCACAGATGCTGACACATGGTCCACAATAAAAGTAATCATTACAAATGTAGGCGGTGGCTACAGGCAGAGACATTAATACAGCAGTGTTAAAATGGAAAAAAATTAAAGTGAAAGGTTTGTAAGCTTTTCGAATACTTTGTTCGTGTACTTACTTACGTCAATGACATTAGCACCTTCATATACCACATTGTTGATATCGGATAATGGCAGCTTTCGATTTTACATTCACCAATGTCCAGCCTTATTTACTCAGGTTTTTACAGCCATCTTCTACATCGACATAGATATAATCATGATCTCCAATTTGCACACTACAAGTTAAAGAAGCAGAAGAAAAACACATAAGATTGATCACAATCTGTTTTATTATTTCTATTTGTAATAGAAACATTTTATCTTTTAAAAGCTCTTGGTGCAGTTTAGAGTTCTTCTTGGTGAGGTAAGGCATATTTTGATAAGACAAAACATTTCTAAAAAAGAAAAAAAGACAAAACATTTCTGTTAAGCGTCCTAGTAAGTCCGTTGAGAACTTTTAGATGTGGCCTATTTAGAATCATGTAATTATAGTTTATTTCAATTGGTCTGTGTCATAGGTAGAGAGAGATTAGCATTAAAAGTCAAATACTTTTAGAGATTTCTGTAAGTGATAAAATAGTACCTCTGTGGCCATTCTAAAAACATATCCTCCACAAAATAAGAACCACAAGTAGTTCCTGAGTACTTAACGGTTTGTCATTCCTGCTATAACTCGTTTAATCATTGTAGCACGTGATGAGGTAGATACTATTTTTGTGTTCAGAGGCTGGTCCAGAATAGGCCCTCAACATCTATTTGCTGAATAACTGAATATTATTATTTTCACTTTCACTTTGATTATTGTTTTTTTATGACTGCTTGTTTCTTCATTCTGTATTTAGGAGCCAGCACATAAATTTTGTTTGTAGCTATGCACCAGTGAGGGTGACCTGTGTTCTGTATCTCCTTGGAACTGCTGGGGCACATTTCCCTATTGACCCCTGGTGGTTATAACTGCTACAAGGGCAAGGACAGCTGCTCAAATTTACAAATCAATGACGAATTCCTCTGGGTACTAGTGTGAGAAAGGCTGGGAGACAACTTCCAGCTGCACCAGGCACTGTGCAAGGCCTTTTAAATGTGCTCTTTGCTCTCATTTATTTCTGATAGCAACCTCAAATGGACAGGTGAGGAAACTGAGGCATCCGCAACCCGAACCAAGGTCACACAGCTAGTCAACAGACGCAGCATTAGATTTCCATTTCAACCCCAAACCATAGCAGATACGTATCAGGCTGACACTTTAATTGGTGTCACGTCAACGATAAGCTTCATAAGAACAGAGACTATCTCAGTCTTGTTCTATACTGAGTCTTGAGTACTTAGTACACAGCAGTCCTTAGCACAGCAGTGGTGGAATAAATGAATTATATAATGCATGGAAGTCTCCAGGAAAGTGCTTGATACTCTAAGGGCACCAAATTAGTTTCCTTCACTGTGTCTTCCTTCTAAAACTCACCTTAAGTATATTACATAAATCATGTCATCAAGAGCTAAAGTAAAAGGACTACTTGGTAAAAGGTCACAAAAATAATGGGATATGTATATGTGTGTGTGTATATATATACACATACATATTTTATATCTATCCTATATATATCATCTAGAGGGACCTGTCCAGAAAGTATCCAGTCATGTCTGTCATAGTGCGTGGCTGGACACTTTCTGGACAGCCCTCATGTCTACATTTTATCTACGCAGTCACAGCCATAACTAGTTCAATCAATATAGAACCAAGCCTGAATTTCTGTGGCAAATGGTCTAAAACAGTGAGACAGGCCAGCTCTTTTCCATTTACTCCCTCAGGCCTAAAATGAGCAGCTCACATGGTTTATGAGGTTTTGGGAACAGAGGTTTGCTGAGCGACCGTATCTTGTGTGGGCAAAGTAGACTGAATTTGGAATGCTGTTAAACTTGGGGTCACTGCAGAGTTCAAAGAAAATTAAGTTTCACGGAGGAGCGTGTGCTCGGTGGGCTCTCTCCCCGGGAGCACTGAGGGATAAAGCAAATCCTCCAGATACGAAGCATGTTTGAAGGTGATTTTTTATTGAAGTCTATTGTCTCAACATGTGGTTGTAATCTGTAAGAAACAATGAGTTCTACCTTTGCAGGTATAACTCCACCAGTGTTTTTAAATAAACGTTTCACCACTTTTGATGTTAAACAAATGGGAATGATTTACCCCGAATCTTGCAATCAGGTGTCTGTGTGTCTGATGTCTGCTGGTGCTAACCCCAGTACAGACGCCACAGAACTAACGCATTACAAATAGAATGCAGAGGTTAAGACTGCATGGCTTACACTGTCCCTAGCAACCTGTGGAGGATGACTGACTTATAAGGAACCAAGTTTTTTTTTTTTTTTTTT